ATTCCTATGTAAATAGTGGCGAAATAGGCATTTAACTTGTTAAGCTTATTTCGTAAGTATTTTTTGAAAATCCAGGGTGTTTCTAAATTAAAACAATTTGTGGAATATTAAGCGGAGAAATAAGTGACGAAAATGAAGTCATTGTAGACATGTTACTCGAAAACATATATTGCTTTAAATATGTGTGAATAGTGTCTTGTGACATAAAAAGAAGTTTTTCGAAGTACAAAATGTTAAAAATCTGAAATCATATTTTGTTACTTCGTGTTGGTATTTGTTTTAAAATTAATATTTTTTGTTATTAATTCTAAATTCATATAAGTATTGATTAATATTTACTTATTCCATGATTTGCAAACAATAATAAATCGACACAGTTTATATGATGTAATACGAGTATACCTCTACATTTGTATAACGATTTTCTTAGAGCACATAATAATGAATTATTTTTGCATATTTTTGAATTTTAGTGTGCACATTCAACAATATTTTTTGCATAAAAATCGGGGCTTGGATTATAAATTATTATTTTAATTTTTGTAAAAATCCGTTTTATATTTGTATCGCGTTTTCCGTTAGGAAACGTACATTTTCGACCGCCAGTTGTACGTTTAGATTATTATTTCAAGCGGTCTTATTAAAACAACGTCGTCTACTTTTTCGCGTTCTGCCGTCTTATCTTTATCAAGAATATTATGTCGTACATAGAGCAGCATTCGATCTCTAGAAACACGTCGAGCCACACAAAAACCAACTATGCTCAATCATCATAGTCTCGAAATCAAAATACGATTTCCCTGCATTATAATTTTCGTTTTTGTTTGGGACACTCTTAACAGTGGTTTTAATATTTTATCGACCAATCGTTTTCACATTTGAAATATCGTGCATATTATTTCTTGAAATAATACACTGCCCCACGTTATCTGGTTAATTACACAGAGATAGTGGAAAATGTCTAATGATTTATTTTCAAATTTATAATAATAACAATAATATCATTTTAACGACCGGATCGCGTGCGTTCGAAACTGACGTGAACATACAAAGCGTTTTTACAGCATTTGTTCGAATTTACGGAATATAATATTTCATTTGTCATTTTAAGTTATTTTTTTTTTTTTTAGCCATCCGTACTCATTAAGGTTGTACCTGGATTTTATATTCGAATTAATATTTGACCAAAGCACCACCGTGCGCGTCGCGTTTCACAGCGGATACATTTTCAGATTTTTGCAAACGCAATACTCCGGGCGCGTGCACTCGTTTCTAATTGGTGTCACGCAACAGTCGCCTTCAGTTCACACCTATATATATATTAATATTTATCTTCCGAAAAGTATAATTATCGTCTTTCTGAGGGGTGATTGAAAACTAAATGTTTATGATTTAAAGGCGTGCCAATATTTTATTTTACTCCCCCCACCCCGCACACCAAGTGAACAGCACACTATTCGTACGCGTAAAGACTCAATTATTATAATTAGGTAACGGATTTGAATGCAAAATTCATTTCTTGGATGTTTGAAAAACTTGCTCTCTTCTTAGCACAAGGTCAATTCATATATCAAGGAATTGAAAAATATAACTTTTATTTTGCATTTTTTCACATTTCTAAGACTTTTTTACTTTTTATAAAATTTTTTGACATTATCAGCGTACTTAAATGTTTTTAAGTAATTTTCATATATAAATGGATAAAGTTCGATAACAATTTAGTCAAAATTAATAAATTAATATACTGAATTCAAATTAAACACATGATAAAATTATAACCAATGTATCTATCTAAATTGTATATTCGTTTTTAGGAAATAATTTAGATGGTAAAATAAATATAGAAGAAGATTAATTATACAATCATACGAAAGATAAATAAGAATAATGATTTATTTAGTAACGAAATAAATATTTTTTCATTGTTAACAATTATTTTAAGAGTACTTTTTTATAACACTTTTTAAAAAAAAAAATTTGTTATGAATCCATTTAATATATTTTTTAAAGATATTTATATTATTTTTAGAATATTTAAAATAATTTCCTTAATTATAACGTTAAAACTAACCATCGACGTGTGAGTTTCTGTTTGTGTGTATGTGTACAATTAGACTCAACAAATCTAAAGAGGACGAAACGAAAAACGAAACTACACAAGATGAGATTTTTTACGCAGTTATTAAGATAAATAAGTTCTTTTCCATACCCCAATGTGAAACGTATGCAAATCAATGACATTCGTTTAAGCCGAATTCCGCCTAGAACGAATATTATCTTATTCGTCGTTCGTAAATTGCTGTACTCTCGTGAGTATTAAATTACACTTATTACAACCAGTAATCCATGCGTGTGTCATCTATAATTATGCATAGTTATTACGGGTAGGTATATCGCGCGTGCATGATAACAATATAGTTCGTCAAATGTGTTTACGGTGAAACTTACATTTATTCAACCAATTGTTTTCGAGAACCATGACAATCATTGTTAATCATGCGTAAATTTTATTTACTAAATTCTTCCGTATTACGAATTTTCTTTATTTCTTTTTCACAAGACTTCGTAATAGGAGGAAAGTTTCACCGAATTTATTTTCCCGTCGTACGGGTCGACGAGATACGCGTGAAAATTCGTGTGTGATTCGGTACACGCAGTGCCGGATTAAGGGCCGATGCCGCCCCGTAGCAAATGTTTGCCCTCTACCCCTCAAAGAAATAAGGTTTAAGTGAGAACAAAAAAAATCCTGGTTTCTCTGTATAAATTAAAAAAATATAATACTACTATACAATATAGGTACCTAATATAATAATTAATCTACTTACACTAAAAAGTATAAATAGGTATATGTTTAATGTCACAGAATAGTTTTGCAAAGAATTTTTTTAAACTAATGGAAAATAGTGACAAAATACAATTATAATTATAATTAATATTAATAAATTGGTTCAAAATATATAGGTTATAAATAATTAAAGTAATTTTTAATATTAACGTCAATTAAAATAAAAAAATTATATTACTTTTTTATTTTTCTTTAAATATATTTTTTTACAGAGTTAATAGTTTTTGTATTAATTCTTCTCACTTTATTTCCTGGATCAAATCAGATTCTATCCATAGAATAAATCATTAGGAAATTTTTTATAGTATTAATGACGATTTTAAATAATTTTTTTGAAGCAATTTTATTTATGCCACCCCACTAAATTTGCCACCATGGAGCAAATGCTCCTTTTGCACCTAAGTTAATTCGGCCCTGGGTACACGTCTTTACATAAAACTGGCAACGAATAAAATGGCAAAACAATGATCTGTCCCGAAAAACATCTGTTCACGGTCGAATAGTAATTTTTCCGTGCCATCGGACTTTGACGGTCGAGATAAACCGTTTGACGTGCGCGTCGGGATCGCGCCCAAGCTTGGTTGTCATTGGGCGGATGAAACCAATGCGAAAATCCGAAAAATGCTTCACCGGACGAATCGGGTGTCATCTGTAATTTTATGCATACTAAAAAACACTTTTTTTTTCTTCGAGTTTTACGGTTTTTTCCTAATCCAGTTCATGGCATTCGACTGAATGCAGATGTACATCACAGTAAATTTATGGGTAAAATAAGTGATGTTCAGTAATTTGAGGTCCTACGAATAACACATCGCAGACGTAAATGCAGACGAACACATCGTATTATATTCGTCAGTCGTTAAAACATAAACGTTCGTGGAATGTTCACAAACACGAACCATGTTGCTGTGTACGTAAAAGTTGATAGATCGAGTCCTAGACGCAAGACGGACTTTCGAGAAGTGCATTCTATCATTGTACACAATTGTACGCGTGACAACTTCGGTAGTTTCTTTTAGAGTTCTTTGTATGAATAGAAGTAATGAGAAGAAATTCGGTCGGTTCGCTAGTAACGCCAGAAAAATGAAATATAAAAATAATATGTTTACCTCGAGACTTCGTAAGCAATTTGATCAACGAGTTTATTACAATGTATCACAATAATTTTATACTCGCGTACAAGCAATATACTATTTATAGCAATCTTCGTCAATTTGGACTAATACCTTATGAAAACCGAATTTACCCGAAAACGGCTTTTACGGGTACTCGTGTATAAATCAAATAGCTCGTCTCTCAAACAACTAGTAAGAGGTAGTGTTATTAAATTTATCGTGAGGAGAAGAAAGTTTAATTGTACGTTTCGGCATTATAAGTATAGCTAAATTTTCGAGCGTTCGAGCGCCGATTTTCAAGTTCAATACTCGTACAATATGACAAACCTATACTTTATACATCTACCTTTTGTTAAAACCGCAGTTAAATCGTGCCCTATTCAGAGGGAATGTGATTTTCACTGAGAATTTAAAAAAAAAGTTTAATTTTCAACGCCCGCGGATTAAAATGATTTTTGTTAGACCCGTAATCAGATTCGTAAAAAATTATAAAAACCGTTTTATCATTGTACTCGTATATAAATAAAAATTGCTTCGTTCGTTGAGATCGTCATTAGACATATATTTTATAAAATTTGAAAATAAAAATAAGAGTGGACATCCCAGCGGTACCCGTCTATAGCGACGATAGGTTTCGACGACGCGCAAGTATCACGATCTCGTTGTTGAACGAAACGCGCACACTACACGGGCGAATAGAATTACTGCTGGGGGTCGCGGTCGAAGACAATAATCATAATAATTGCACTTCGCGATACCATTATTCGCATGGTTTATTGGTCATGATCATCAATTGCACCGGTGTTACCGCGTAACACTGCCGATTACACATGAATAGAATCGTTCACCTACGCAATAGGTGACAAAATCGGGTCCACCGGCCTTCGTCAATCCGTAAACAACAGTTCGGTATCATAGTCCATAGGTGACGGCACCTGCTTGCGGGCTTATCACGTCCGTCAAAAGTCTGTGCGAAGCAATGATAATAAACGTTATTGCGTCGACAGTAATCTAACCGTATAAATAAACCTGTGCGTTCGATTAGCCAGATCAGTGTTGCTTGAGACTTAGTCAAAAGCGATTCAAAACCACTCGTAACCGTATCCATATTGTTCGCCACAGGACTGAACGCAGAATAAGAAAACATGGTCGCATTCAAAATTATTTTCGCCGTCGCTCTCGTGTCGGTCGCCATCGTGCAGGTAAGTCATAATTTCACATGATCGTATTGATCATATTGAACGTATTGTTCACTCCTCGAGTACCACGGAATCGAACTGTATTTGAACGAGAACTTTTATCTGTTTTTCCTCGTTATTTGAACCGTTTTTTTTTTTTTTTATCGATCGCGAGCCGGATTAACCGAGGAGTCTGGGAAGCAAGTTTCAGATCTTGAAATGTTAACGGCCCCGATCGGGTCCTTTTTTTATCAGAAAATACTTTAATTTCATTGCTTATTGAACGTTTGCAAACACTAAATTAATTTTTACAATACGTTACGTTTTTATTTCATTCGAACGCAGCAATACTATGGTATTATAAATATGCGTTTGTAACTTCGCGTCCTTAGGCTTATTGTAATAATATTGTACTTAATCGATATCGATTGCCATAACGGACTCCTAAAATTTTAATAATTTTCAAAGATATTATTTCGTATGAAAAATTAATTTGTATATTTTTTTTTAAATAGTAAAATTAAGTAAACTGTAATAGTGTAAGGGGTCCTTTCGAGCCATCCAGACTCGGTAAACTCTTAATCCGGTTCTGACCGTGACGCATTGTTGAATAAAAGTTGTACTATACAGTGTGTACACGATGCATATCAACTACTTGTCGTATATAAAGGTTCATCTCTTAAAAAAAAAAAAAAAACTGAATAAATAAAATATAAGTGCTTTTAAAAAAATGTACTGTACCACAGCAATTAATTAAGACAGGGAGTAAGCATGGTAATAAAAATATGATAGTACTAATGACTACCATTATCATGACAGAAACTTGAAAATGGCTGTCATGGTGTAATTTAACGTTAAATGAGTATATTTGTACATTTCACCGGTTTATAGATCAACGGTAAGCCCACCGAGATGAAGGACCAGGTGTCCGAATGGACTGCACCGTTCGAAGCACTCTTCAAAAACATCAATCAAACGGTGTCTAATATCGTCAATGAAAAATCAACTAAATCCGGTCTGAACACCTTCGCCGAGAATTTAAAATCCGAATTGTCCTCACTATCCAAATCGGTATTATGATAGAATAATAATATCAATAAGAAATAAAATAAATGATATCACTTACACCTTTACATAGCGAAACACAGTTTAATAACACTGTTCATTGTGTCCATTTACCACAGCTAGAAAGCAAATCCGGTGTTTCCGATATGGTCAAGGAGGCCACCAAGCAATGGCACCAGACCGTCGAAACTTACTCCAAGAACATACCGGAAGAGTTAAACGTGAAGAAAATCAATGAGAAATTCGAAGAAACATTGAAGCACATCACCCAGAACGCCAGTGAGCTCTCGAAAAAGGCCCAAGGTAACGTGGAAGTCGAAAAAACGGTCCAGGAATTCGCCAAAAAACAGATCGACGGTTTCATGGAATTACTCAAAACCGTGCAGGTATAATATTTTATATATGCGAATAAACGCGTGGCTTTTATCTCCTTTTCCATAACCATATGGGCCTATTTTAATAAAAAAATTAACTTTTTTCTATGATTTCAGAGCCAAGTTAATGAAAAGAAAGACTAAAGAACAGAACTAAAAACTCGTGTGTACGTCGGTTGAAAACGAATGTTAATTTATTGTACTTTTTAATTTTATAATGTAATACTTAAGTTTTTTTCATATACATAATCAAACATTAAATTTTTCAGTTTTTATACTTTAATTGAATAATTAACAAAACTAATTATTAATATTACTAAACTTTACACCCACCAAAATGTAAGCTTGTTTCATTACTCGTACAAACATACGATCCGTCTATTTTTCTAGACGTAAAATTAGTATTAGCCAATCTAAGAAACACATATGTCTCCAAATATCTGATACCTCTCACCTCCGATTTGAAACTGTTCATATATAATAGTAAAATATCAAAATACTTGATGTTCCGACACGGTCGAATAAATTTGTGTTTTAATGATGTTACCCGTTTTTGAACGTACGCACGAAATCAAGCGTGACCTAATTATTTATCAGTTGTGCATTTTGTAGTTATACTGTATATAAATATTTACAGGCGTATTCTATAGTGATAATTGCACTGAAACTTGAAAGTGTTGGTTATTAGCGAGTTATAAACGAGTTAATTATCTAGTATAATAATTCCCAAAAAAGAAATCAATAATAACGAAATAACACGGATAACCTTGTCATAACGAATAATTTTATCGCATAACGTGAATAACGTTAATTTTAAATTTATGCTGCAGTCGTTGTAGTTTACGTTATTATATGTAGCACGGTTTATGTTTATTCGTATGCGTTTAATGCACGAATAGCAACTTAAATCTTCATACATTGTACGTATAATGTAATTTTTTAATTTAACCTATGCAAAGGTATTAAATATTCCGGTGTCACTTGTCTTTCTTTTTGCTCTCTTTACCGACAGTTGGCTCGTTTCGAATCTATTTAATGTTTTTCGAATAAACGTCATGAATCTAAGGTATAATGTGACAAAAAATGCCACCTCCTTTCCGTTTACAATATAATTTATTATATGGTTCCAGACAAATTACCTTTTTTTTTTCCAAACTTGTATTTGATAATACAATATTTTATGATGTATGCGCGGTTTAATGAAAAATAATAGACATTAAATTTCACTTAGGATCAAAAGACGGGCACAAAAACCAGGCATGTAGCTGCACTCGCTTTTTAGCTTGTAAATGAAAAATTCAACCGTTAAGCCCGCCGTGGTGTGGCGGCATAACTACAGAACTCAATTATTATAACATCGTTAGTTAGGTCACGTTCGTCCGATACGATTAAATGAAAATTATCAATTTCGTGTGCACGAATCCGTCCACGTACCGAATATTATTTCATTCTCGCGTGAGCCACTGTCAAAGGTCGTCAAATGTGAACCGTCGACTGGTCCAACGGAAAAAAAATCTGATAATCGCGTCCGCCGACGATCGGACTAGTTGCGTTCCGAACACGCATACGTGATATTATTTTATGGTAATCTGCAACGGTGCATTGGAATACAACAACGGCTCACCGAATATCTAATCCTGATTAGACTCTGACCGGTGAATCAATGAATAATTAACGAAAAACAGGCGCGGCAATTGAAATCAACAGAGCCGAGCAGTGTGTTTTCTATTTATTTTGACCGAAGCACGGTAGACGTTTGTTTTTTTTTCAATCTGACGATCGTCAATAGTTTATTGTCGGATAACGCACAGGTTTACTCGAAGGCTAAAACGCGATTGCGTACGTTTGTTATCGGCAACACCTTTTTAAGCAATACGATTTCGTACGATTTTACTTGATTTTTAACTACACGATTGCGTACGAAGTTTTTGATACTAATTTTCATACTAGTAATGGTTTATACCACATGCCTCCTATACGAGAAAACTTGAAAAATTTAATATATACTTTGTATTTGATTGTATTTATTACCTATGTTTATTGTTAATAATATCAAATATATCAAATATAACGAAATTTCGTAATTTCTGTTGTATTATACGGTATTTTCCAAGTTTCGGTAAAAGTAGTAGGTTATAGCTATCAAGGAATCCAAATTTAAGCATTTTCTAATAATTTATTAACAATAATTTCATTCAAATAAATACTGTCGATTTTATTTTTTTATTAATTACTTTTATTTTATTTAGTTACCCTCATTTTATTTATTATTTTATTATTAATTTTTTTTAAGAAAAATTATAGAATATGTATTCTATATTTATTAGATATAATTCGATGGAATTAGTAAATTTGACAACGTTGCGTAAAGTTTCATACGCAATCGTGTTGTCGAAAAGGACAAACGTACGGAATCCTATTCTACCCTACTCGGACACCACGTGCACAGAGCACCTCACGTGTTCCACCGATACGCGTTCTGCCGTGATCAACACTGACATAATTTTTTTGTTTTTCCGGCCTTTAAGACCATCCCGTTTAACAAATTTCTCTCCGTCTTGTTCTGTCTTCAGCTACTCCTTTCCAGTTTGCTCCTGGGTCTAATGCTTTGACTTCTCACTTCGCACAGTCTTCCCCCACCCGAAGTGTGGTCTGCCTAGTGGTATTTTTTCTTCCTGCTCCTCTTTAATTACTGCATTTATCATTGCGTCTTTTTTCCTCCAGGCGTGACCGGTCCATACACTGACATAATATAACTTGGAAAATAATTAACATACTGCACTATACACCATACTATATATTATAAATATGTTTAATTTTTTTCGTTTTCGACTCCTTTTTGTGTTCAACTTGACTAGTAAGTTACGCCCGAACGTACGAGTCCACATGTATTGCGTGGAACAAAGCCCACTGTAGGTTTTACGATTATTGATGTAGTGAATAATTGTTTGCAAAATGCGGTCGGTCGTTCACAACAGTTAATTTTTTAATTTAGTTCGCGATCGACCGCGTGAAAACGCAACAAAATATCCAATCGGAAACAAAGCGCGTAATCGGAAATTAAAGGGGTCTAAAACAACGGTGATTATTTACCATTCGTTTTATAACGCTCGTGGTATCTTTTTTAAGCAAATTCACAGTCCGAGTCGATAACGTTGATTTTCGAACGAAAATGTTGCTGCAGCGTTATGGTTATCTCTTTGATGGATTGAAAATGATTGCGGTCAAAAATGCTAAAAAGAAAAACAATCCACTCTACGGACATAATATTCTTTATGTAAAATTGTACTGTTCATGCAAGACGATGGAACGAGTTTCGCAAAAAAACATAGTATATTATTTGGTCAAACCTAGTTGAAAAAGGGGAATTTTGCGGTTTCATAAATATTATATTTACTAAATCAAAACATTAAAACGTTGAGTGTCTAAATAACTCTTGAAATTCTGATTATTCTAAAAAATTGTTTTCTGTTTTTTTTACATAGACTTTATAAAGTTTTTTGAAAATTCAGTTTGAGTTAACAATACCGACTACATGAATTTAAAAGTTAATAAATAAAATTGATTTATCGGGTAAAATCGATAAAACCGATTTATGACAAATTAAACTAGAAGCTTGTATATTATAAAAAATAGATTAGATTGGATGGTGTTTGAAAGAAGCATTTACCTTTTTTTTTCTTGCTTCAAACAAAGTTAGCTATAAATTTGATTTGTAGTAGAAAAACATTTAATAAATATAACATTTTATAATTCTTTTTTTGCTGTTAATTTAAAACAGAGCTTTTTTTTTGGATCTATTCATTTTTTAAGTAGATTTTAAATTCAGAGTATAAATCAGGAATGCAGAAGTTATAGCATCATTTGGTTTTTTTTGTGACGGTGTACAGGATTTCAACAAAAAAAAGTGATTTGACCATCACAATTATATAACTAAAAGATAGGTTTTAATAAGTAGTTGAAATTTTGAGAGAGTCATTTTTTTTTAAATTTTTCAAGAATTTTCAAAATAATTGAGAATAATGTAGAAAAAATTACAAACCAATCAAATCGAAATCGAGATTTGAACCCAGTATTATTTTTTAACTCATTTTTTTTTGCGTCTGTGAATACGACCATAATAATCAGGTCGTTCATTACATAAATAAGGATTGTTCCAATTAACACAATCATACAAGGTTTCCGATAAAAAATCTCGTCTTTTTAATACTTTGAAGAGTGTAATATTATGATTTTCCAACAGTTATAATCATTATTACGTTACAAATAAGAAACTTAGTTACATAAAAAAAAAAAAAAAAAAATGACAAAAATTACGACACATAGGTTTTCGACTAGATCAAAATGTTTTCATCGTAACTCAGGTTTCAATGTAACACATTAAATGTGGGTAGGCTATTTCATTAGCCCAATTATTAGGCCTAAAACTGGGTTATAAATGTATGTCTTGTAACAAAAAAATTCAATATGATCATAAATATGTGTTTTTAAGTTTATCCATGATTATCATTGAAGACATAAATATTTATCTTATTTCGTGAAGAATTCCGTCTTACATTGGGTCTGACATAATTATATTTTACTGTATTATACAGTGACGTCATTTAGAGTAGTGAATACTGGGGCAGATGCCTCAGTGTAGTATTAACTTTAAGCTAAAGTCGGCACACTTAAAAGTTATAAGTCTTGAAGAGGTCAATATTGTCAGCGTATATTAACTGTGAGTCAGTTAACCTCTTGATACCCCTAACCCTAAAATCCGCCTCTATCATGGAGCCATTCTACTGTGAATATAACCATGCGTTTCACCACTAAAATACATACAACGAAACAATTGGACAGCATTGTAGTGCCTATTTTGTACAATAATTTGTCAAGTACATTTTTCTTGATTAAATAAAGTGCTTTATTTTCAATGGTCGTGTATCGATATAGTAAACGAACTTATTTTGATAAAACAAACCGTGTTAAAATCGGAAAAAATGGAGAAAAATAAGGTAGATAGTCATAATTTATTTATTTATTTTACTCGTATTTTTATTTGTTTATATAAACGCCAATCGAATATTTACAATCATTGTTCGGTTTCGATTATCCACGATTAAAATTGAATTTATACGATAGTCCGAAATATTCGATCAAAAATTCGAAACACAATGCCTTCGAATTTCAACGCAAGTTCGTTGCAATGGCACGTGAAGCCGAATTTTATTTTATTTTTTACTGCTACAACACAAGAAATCTAAAAGTGACCAATGTGTTTGTGTGACACTCCAACAATCGTTAATCGTTATAGTGACGACGATTTATATTAATTTTACCATCCGATCACGAGGCTCATGTCGGACGGCTCAAAAAACACTGCGCTGCGGTATGGTGGAATCGAAAAAAACCAAATCCGTCGGGCAACCTGATAAAAATGTCAAAACGTAAAAGCCCCGAAGAGTATCTCTATTCCGGTCCGAGTCAAAAGTATTTTTTGTTCCAAATTTGAAAACTAATGGTGGAGAGGACTATAACGAATAAAAAAATCAAAAAAAT